AGTTTTCCCTGATCAACTGTGCTGAACATTTATCCAGACGACGGCGGCGGCCGCAGCTTCCTCATCCACTTCTTGAACTTTACCGCTTTGCGGAGCCTCGCTATGTAACTTTATCGAACGAACCTTTGCACGCACTCGACATACCTTCGCATAACAATTATCGCTTGTACGAAAACACCACCAATTTAATGTTTTATCACATGTATCATGCAGGGGGGAGAAACGCGCCCCATAGTAAGACGGAAAAGGCGCCCCAAACGACGCTCCAGGCAACCCACGCGCGGCCCCACTTGGGGTGCTCGAGTAGAAGCCAGGCGGCAGCCCAGTAGGTGATCGGCATGGACGCCGCGAGGCGGAGGACGATCTGGGTGTGGGACGCGAAGAGGAGAATGCCGCACATGATGAGCGCATGAATGGCATGCGGGGCGATGGACGCGGAGAGGAAGGCGTGGCCAGTAGCGGCAGGCGATTTTATCCAGTTGCGGAGGTGATGGACGCTGAAGGCGGAGATGGCGAGAAGCGGCGGGGCGGCAATGACAAAGTTGGGGAGCTGTTGTAACGTCCAGTAGCGGAGGAAACCTATGTTCCAGTAGCGATCTTGGACGTGGGAGTAGATGAGCGGGAGGCGGCGCGCGCACCACGCCGCGGGGGGTTCTGGGCCGGTGCAGAAGGCGACGTATGCGGCGTAGTTGTGCGCTATAAAGGGCGTGAGGGGCAGCGCGGACAGGACGATGCAAGTCAAGACGGAGCTAAGAAAGAGCTGGACGGGTCGGTAGGGAAAATAAAGAAATATATAGAGCATACCGGTTTGCGCTGCAGGTAGGGCTGGACGAGGAGGCCCCAGACGATGAAGCCGCTCAAGAGAAAGCCGTTGGAGCGGAAGGCGGCGGCCAAGGTGAAGGCGATGGCGGCGGCAAAGTAGCGGGATGTCGCGCAATATAGCATTCCCTTGTAGGAGAGATAGGTGAAGAAGGGCTCCGTGTACGGCGCGAGAAAGAGGGTGGCCGGGCTACTGGGAAGCAGGGCGAGAACGGCGGCGAGCTTTGCGAGCGCGGGTGAGCCCAGGTGGTGGAGAGACAGGCTGTACATGGTTTCTGACGCGTCGCAGGCTATTGCGAGCGAGAGAAGGGTGGGAGCGAGGGGAGAGTTGGGGAAGAGGGAGAGAAGGAAGGGGAGACCGGGGAGCCAGGCCCACTCGTGCTCGTAGACATATCCGCTGCGGGCGATGTGGAGGAAATGGAGGGCGTCCCAGCGAAGCAGGAGGTGGGGTGTGGCTGCGTCGAAGGGGGGAAAGAGATGGGCGAGGAGGAGGAGCGCGGCGGTGAGCAGACGCGAGATGACGGTAAGGAGGAGAAGGGTCATGTGACCCGACACAGGACTTGCGTAGATCTTGATTGTAGCTCAGCCTCTAGTAGCTGTTCACCATGCTGCCTCTACCCGTCACGACGTTGTTAATCGCACTTGCACCGGCCATTCACCTCGTCCGACGCGCTCTCGAGATCCCCGCTTGGACCTCTCCCTACGATGCCTTTCTTCTCATCGCAGCCTGGTGGGCAGTAGTCCTCCTCGCAGAGCCCACTCTCCGATATTTCTTCCCTTTCGCCTGCATATCCACCCTCGCAGTCTCCTCCTGGTCCGTCCGCACCCGCTCGTCCTCACCGCTGGCGTCGGAGCACACTCTCCAAGCCGCGGTCGCGGACCTCTCAACTATCGAGGCCCTCATCCCCGCTTTTCCGTCACTCCCCGCGAGTCTGGCCGCTCCAAAATTGCTCTTGCGCGCATCGCTTGTGCTCTATGTACCCTATCTTATTCTCACCCACCTGGTGCGCCTACGCGTGCTCGTTGCTATCGCTGGCACCATCCTGCTTACCTGGCGCGCTCCGTGGGCAGTTGCCCTCCGCAGCGCGCTCTGGCGCAGCGCCTGGTTCCGCTGGACGATTTACCGTCTTTCCGCCGCGATCACCGGCCAGCCCCTGCCACTGGCCTCCCAATCCGCCATCTCCTCCGCCGCCGCCGCCGCCACCCCAACAAAGTCCCTCCGCTTCCTCTTTACCGTCTATGAGAATCAGCGGTGGTGGATGGGGCTCGACTGGACCGCCGCCCTTCTCCCCGCTGAGCGCCCTTCATGGTGCTCCAAAACCCAGAACGCCGTTGCTCCGCCCAACGCGTTTGTTCTCCCGGACGACACGACAATGTACCTTCCGGGCCCCGACGGCAAAAGCCGCGTCAAGCGCTGCGCAAAGTGGTCCTGGGAGGAGGATGAGTGGCGTGTTATGGTCCGCAAAGAAGGCGCCACGGCGCTAAGCCGCGTCGAGAAGCCGCTGCCCAGTGACAAGGAGGAGAATCCGGGCCTCCTCATGAAGGCCGCCGTCAAGATGCGCGAGTCCAGCGGTCATCCGCCTGTTGATGAATCGGAAGGAGACAAAGCTTCCGCTGATTCGGAGGAAGAGGAGGAAGAGCTCGTCACGGACGAAGATGGTTGGGTATATGGGGACAACAAATGGGAAAAGCCGAGCGCCAAAGGGGGAATGGGCAAGGTTAGTCTCTCCTCTGCTCGGCAGCTCTGTGTTCTGAACGTTTTCGCAGTACACTCGCTTCCGACGATGGTCACGAGTAGCTATCGTCTCGGAAACGGCAGAGCCTGTGCCAGAGGGTGAGGTGGAGGTTGCTCCACAAATCCGCTCTGCCAGTCCAATATCGTCAGTACAATCGACGAGTCCTGTGGAGGAGAAGCAGGAGAAGCCCCCCCGCGACGGCAGCCCACTCAAACAGCGACTGAAAAGCGCAATGCACAAAGCCACACTGTAGTATATCTTGTACAACTGTATTTTCTCCCCATCCTAATCCGGCACCACTCCTCCCCCGGCCCGCATAAGGGAAACCCACGTTGCCATTCAAGTGAGGACATCATCATCGAAAATTGCTGTCAAAGGAATGCCGTCCTGCCGGATGACCCCGCGGTACATTCCCGGACAGTTCAAAGGCATTGAAACTAGGTCGAGTCAGTGATCTGTTATGAAAATCAGGGCGTGAGCATACCATTTCCTGCATCGTCGAGAGCGATAACGCCCCCCATGCCACCGTTGCGGCGGAGGTCCTCAACCGCATACTCGGTCGCCTGCTGCAACGATTCGCCGAGGTACCTGACGCGATGGGCGATCGTGACGCCCGTCGCGCACCGGATGAAGTACTAGATAGAGAGTTGGACGCGCACAATCACCTGAGAGTGTAAACCTACGTCGCCGTCGCCCGTCCCAGAAACACCCAACGCGTGTTGGGCCGGGAGACCCCAAATCTTGCCCCACGCCTTTTGCACCCACCCCGCAGCCGCCGGCCACTCCTCTGCCCAGAAGCCGGAGCCCATATGCGGTGTGTCTCCGACGCGCCCGACGAGCTTGTTCGTGCGACCGCCGGTCGATGTGAGCGCGGCGATGCACCCGCGGATGTCGAGCGCGACCGCGCCGACTGTTCCGGTGGGATGCAAGTCGAGCAGCGGAAGCCCGGCCTTTTCGTCCGACGCGTCAGAGTCGGGGTATGGGAAGGGCTCGTCCGGGAGCCCGAGGCCGCGGCGGTGCTCAAGCCAGCGCTTCTGGGTATAAAAGTACGACTCGTCGACGAGCTCTTCTCCAAGGGACTCGGCGAGGGACTCTGCCGTCGGGCCGGAGATGAAGGTGTGTGGCAGGAGGTCCGGCGCGAGATAGAGCGCGCGGGCGAGCGCGCTCGGGTTGCGGACGTGCGTGAGGAGTGTCATGCCGACACCGCGCCGCGAGGGCGGAATGTCAGGGTGTGAAGCGGGAGGCTTGGAGAGCATCAACGAGGCCTCCAATTCGTTCTGCGTATATTGAGTTTACGCGCGGACTGCCGGGCTAACGCAAGTACAGACCTTTCCGCCCGTATTGAAGACGGCACCCTTGCCTGGGGGAAATGTCAAGGCGGGGGGGAAGAAAATGGGGGCGGGGACTTGCCAGCATTGAATAGAGGGCAGTCTGGGATGCGTGAGCGCGAGGGATGTCAAACGAATTATAACCGCACCTTCCATAGTAGTCACCGCAGCCGTGACCGCGTCCATGGCCTCACCTGCCTGAGTGTCAGATTAGAACCGGAGGCACGCTTTCCAGCTCACCGCCCTCGCTCAGGACCTTGTAACCTGCCTCTAGCGCGGCGCGGATTCCGGCCTTGTACGCGGCGCGCTGTTCGTGCGTGGAGCCCTCCCTTGACATGGTGCCGGCACCACCATGGCAGACGAGGACATAATTGGTGTTTGCAGGGACGCGGGCAGCACTTGGCGTCAACTTGTCGGACATGGAGGGAGAGAGCAAGGCTTATCGCGGCGGGTAATAAATATAACTGGTCTTCGTTGGGTCGCCGCGGCGAACCGGGGGGAAATTCAATAGATAGGGGTTTGTCGGCCTGCAGCTCAAGCCGGCCGATTTCAAAAAATCGGGATATAGCTTCAGATAAAATACCAATAATTCTGAGTATGTTCTAAAATCCAGTGGGTCTCCTGCGAACACTAAGTGATTTCATCTGAGTGCCTTGAAGAAATTCGATCGGCTTCGAAACGACTCGAATTTTAGCCATTTGGCAGCCGTTGCAATAGTAAGATGCAGGCTCCGCGGCCCACTTCGTGTCAGCGGACTAACCATCAGCTTTCTGGGTGCTTTATACCCCCAAATAGATCCAGAATTATCGCTATTTTACTCAAAGCGGTATATCAGTTTTTTTTTGAAAATTGATCGGCTTGAGTCGCGGCAACACTACCTCAGCCTCAGCCTGTAGGCTCAAGCCTTTGCAGGGTGGGGTTGGAAGGAATAGGGGACGAGAGGGGGAGGGGAAGAGGGGATAAAATAAGGAGGAAAGTAGGAAACTCGGAAGGATCAAAAAGATCCGACACCTGTGCGATTCGAACACACGCGGGGGGTGTTTGGGGTGCCTTCTAGAAGAGGCCAGAACTACAAAAAAGACTCAACACCTGCGCGATTCGAACACGCAAAAAGACTCGACACCTGTGCGATTCGAACACACGCGGGGAAACCCCAATGCCTCCCAGTTGCCATATTTAGCAGGGCATCGCCTTAACCACTCGGCCAAAGTGTCCATATGGTTGGTTAAAGAGAGCATGTCATGTCGGGAGAGCGCCGTGAGGAAGAGGCGCGCTTCACTTAGTCACCACCTGTTTGTGACAAGCAATATTCCTCCTTCAAAAAAAATCGGATTTCTTATCCCTCTTGTAAAAACACTCTCTTTAGCAAGAGGTAACTTTCTACAAGAGGGATTTTTCTTTAACTCAAAATTCAAGGAGTAATTCTTTTTAGGTCGGCCAAATTGGGACTCCACATTTGCTCCACACCCAATCCAGTCACCCATTGCTCGTCTGACCCCATGGACAGCTTAAAAATACGCCCATATCTTAGATTCCAGAGATTACAACCTCCAGACATACAAATATTGATCGTGAGTCCTGGGAATCCCAGCCTGAATTCAAGGTTCGATGGTTCAAATAATTACAAAACCTTGTGAAGTTGAGGAATCATACTACGCGTGCCAAATCTGCATCAGATTGCGGAGACAGAAGCTCAGAGAGATATATAGAAAGAAAAAATTTCGCCTCCGGCGGATTTGGGATTAGTCCACTTTTGGTGGTGACTAAGCGAAGCGCACCATAGCGGACGGCTGCTAGACAAAATTGAGAAATGATTTCGCCGACGGTTGCCGTCGGTGAAACCCTCGGCGATCGGTTTTGTAGCCTTTTTCGCCGAGTCGCAACCCCGGAATTGCCATAATTGGCAGGGCATCGCCTTGACCACTCGGCCAAAGTGCCCATGCGGAAAGCTATAGGGAAGAGGGACCAGGGACCCATTACCCAAAACGAGGCCCAGAACTTAGGAAATCGAATAACAGACGGACGAAATCGGACAACACCAGCCCGAGATACTCGCTCGTATGTTGCTCTAACAACTGAGCTAAGGGGGAGGTTTGATAGGTCATACGAGCTCCCAAGAGATGAGGCAGAGGGGTGAGTAAATATGATTTGCCTTATTGGGCGACGGGCGTACTAGCTGCCAGACAAGGATACACAAAGTCTGACCCGACTGGTCTCCGCCCGTACCCCGGAGTATTCCGGCCTCTGCAGGCTGATTAATTCTGGAGAAATGTTTTCTCCTCGTGCCGATTTATGGATATCAAAAATCACCAGAATTGGATCTGCATAGCAGAATGTCTTTGGAATGTCTACAAATATGTTGAGGGGGATACTTGGACCTGTTTAGCTAGACAAGGTAGACTAGTCGCCGTCGTGAGTAGCTACATGACAGGATGCATTAGGCAAGGAGCGATGATGTAACAAGATGTCAGAGCAAAGGTGACGGGGATGCAAAAGGTAGGACGCGGTGTGGTCGGAAGCCGATGAGGGTGATGTGAGTTGTAGACCATATGTGAGTGGCCTGTGCACGACGCGACATCATTTCAACTGGTGGTAACATCCATCACCATACCGCGGCTAGTCTCGGCTTACTGCAGGCTAAAATCGTCTAATATATTGGTCTGTCTCGGTTTGCTCAGCTGCAAAATATGCAAAGACTCACCTCTATTAATACTTAGACGCACAAGCCCGCTCGAGATAGCTTGTTCTCCACCTCAATATTTTGACAAGCTCTGCAGCAATCATATCTGCCCCCTGGCCCAGCTGGTTAAGGCGTCCGACTGTTATCCGTGCAAGTAAAATTCCGGCATTGACATCGGGAGATCGGGAGTTCGATCCTCCCGGGGGCAGTAGCTTTTACTTTTATTTTTCTGACCTTCTCAAACATGCTTTCCTGGCCTCCTGGACGTCTGGTGTATCAAATTTTGGCGCTGACATTGTTCCACTAGCTGTAACGATGAAAATTACCTGATTTGGACACGAGCGGTTGTTTGTTCTTGTTAATATGTCCCGAACAAGTAGCGTTCTAGCGCGGCGCAAGGACGCGTCAGGAATGCTGAACGTAAAGGAGTATACAGGAACTGAATTCCCAAATTTGAGGACCCTCCATACAGCGTGGAACGTTAGTATGTACGGTAGGATTTTATTTGAAGAGATTCAGCCCACAGATGGGCCCAAACCACCGCGTGCAGAACATTTGGCCGCCACTGCACACTCCAACTACGAAACATATGGCAGAAGGGAGACGTGGACTCCCCATAGACGATTCGGAATAGAGAGATATGGCCAACAGGTAAATAACTAAAGGTCTAAGGCTACGATTTGTGAACAAACGGCCATGTTGTCCAAATGTTGTCCATCCGTCACCTGCCTTCCTTTCCGTCTACAGCTTTATCGCCTGCCCATCTGCGTCTGCGGAGATGTCCCAAATACCCCGGGATCAACAGATTGACCACGGAGACACTCAATATATTCGAGGTGGTACCGGATGACGAGAGCGGCCTGTAAAGGGACGCATCAGCACTTGTGGGTCCAGTAAGATGATATTAAAGCCCCAAACCCACCGGATATTGTCCCCATCTACTGACTGGACAGTAACGACAGCCAATTTCTACCGCATTTATTTCACTGCCAATTGCCTCAGTTTCAGAAGATGAGATGAGCTGGGTAATCACTTGACATTACCGTCCTAAAATACTCGACGGGACAAATTCACGTTGGCCTCAGGGTACTAACCTAACCGCTGGCCGACACTAAATAATTTAATTTGAACGTCTCCACTTGCAACCTGAGGATGAACGCGCCAGGAACGGAAAGAACATCGCCCAGAACAATCTTAGATCGAGCATGACGATCCTTGGCAATATAACGAACGATGAGATGTCCGAAAAGCGGTAGAGTTATCCAAGTCAAAGTGACCATATTTCATTGTGCTCGAGACAGAGCAGTAGAACGCCCAGAGCATATGAATCGCTGAGGGACGGATCGTGGGAGGAGTGCATATTGTCTAGAGCAGTGAACGGATGCGAGGCGGAGGATAGTTCCTCGTCCGTCCGAGCGCTACGCCCGAAATCGATGAGCTTGACATTTCCCTCAGAGTCGATCATGGCATTGCCGGGACTGATGTCTCCATGCGACAAGCCAAAAGAATGGATGTAGTGGATTGTCTGAATGAGCTGGTTAGCCTACATGAGCTCGACGGAATCCACAGGGAATGGGCGCGCTTCAAGCTGGCGTCCAGACGTACACCATCTATAGCCTCGATAACCAGCCCGATTCCGTCATAGAACTCGACGAGATTGGGGTGTCGAGGAACGGTACGGAGAAGCCGCAGTTCGCGCGCAAAAAGAGGTTCCCACATTAAAATCATTGCACAGAACCCGTCCATCTACTTCAAGGTAATCAATCCGAGGGCGTTTGACAACGGCGCGGTGAAGAATGGAAGCGGAGGAATCCTATGCGGAATCCGTGAGGGCCGGTTCCAGAAACGTGCTCCAGGACGAAACGGAATAAATCTTCTGAGCAGCCTGAAGTAGCCCAACCTTCAGGATACGATGGCCGAGAAGACTGAGAAATCCGATATGGTGTTCGGTAATGAAACTCGGCTAAACGCGCTTAGTCACCTTTCATACTTTTCTCTCCGTCCGCCATGTCTGCTCCAGAGCTCTTCACCTGTCTATCATGCGCGATAGCTTTCCATTCCGCAGAGGAACAGCGTGCGTTGTCCGTCCCGTTCCCGTCGGTCCGTCCTATTGACGCTTTTTCGCAGGAGCGCACTACCGCTCCGACCACCATAGGTACAATATGAAGCGTCGGGTGGCCTCTCTGCCCCCAGTCAGCGCCGATCTGTTCAATCAAAAGGTGCTTGACCGCAGAATAGAGACCGCAGTCATGTCCTCTGCCAAAGGATCTTATTGCGAACCCTGCAAGTGTGTTCTTAGTCATTCGCCTACCATCATTTTCCTCTGACCTTCTTCTCTTCCAGCAAAACCTACACAACTGAGAACGCATATCGTTCCCACATCAACTCGAAGAAGCACAAAGATATAGAGGCCAAGGCAAAACTCTCCCCCCCTCGCGTTGTCTCCGAGGAAGTAGCTTCCGCGCCCGTGGAAATAGAGACCGTCGAAGTGATCCCTGAAGTGGTCGCCGAACCAAAGATTGTCTCTTTGGTTGTAGATGGCGACGCCTCCGACAGTGAAATCAACCAGACCATCGACGAAAAGATTGCGGCGGCTCGCGCACGTCTCTCTCCGAATACTTGTCTCTTTTGTCCCAACGAGTGTTCGCTTCTGGACGATAATCTCACCCACATGTCCACCGCCCATTCGTTCTTCATTCCGGATGCAGAGTATCTCATTGATATTCAAGGCCTGATATCCTACCTCGGAGAGAAAATAGCCGTGGGGAACGTATGCATCTACTGCAACGGGAAAGGCAAAGAGTTCAGAACCCTAGAGGCTACCCGAAAGCACATGCTTGACAAGAGTCACTGCAAAATTGCATACGACTCGGAGGTCGACCGCCTCGAAATCTCAGACTTTTACGACTTTACGAGTTCATACCCGACCGACGCCAAGAAGGCGAAGAAATCCAAATCGGCATCATCGAGTGTAGATGAAGAATGGGAGGATCTGGACGACGACGCAGACGAGGAGGTGGACGAAGTCGTAGAAGAGGATGACGACTCGGACGACTCGGAGGATGATCTCCCCGAGAATCCAATCACATACGGTGATTCCAATCTGGAACTTATACTGCCTTCAGGCGCGCGCATAGGGCATCGGAACTTGCGCCGATTTTATCCTCAAACTTTCCCTGGCGCGAGAAGAGGCAAGCCAGAGGACCCAGACTCGGGCGCCGCTCTCGTTCGCAGGTTGCTGGCCGACAAAAACTCGGCCTTGGTTCCACGCAAAGGTGGCTATGGAGCATATGGTTCAGGGACCGAAGTCGTCAAGGCCCGGAACCGTGGCGAAGCCAGGGAGGCCGGCCGCCATGTTCGCGAGTTCAGAGATCAGAAGCGGCGCGAAGACTTCAAGACGAAGGTCGCTTTTATCCACAACTCACAAAAGCATTTCAGAGATCCTTGTGAGCATAGTTCATCCGGCTTTCTCCTCATCTCACACTCTTTCAGTACTGCAGTAGATGTTGGACCTTTTTGGCGTAGAGTTAGCGTGGAATACATTCTTCTTCCTCATCAGGTCATCAAGTGGTCGTGCGCATGCTAGATATGAGATATTATGGGTATGAAAAGGTATATGGGCGTGCAGTGCAATAGACAAAGAGTGCAAAACGAGGGAATATAACAGACATGCGACAATTAAAAGAGATATGCGGCCGGAACGACACCCTCCCGCCCTGTTTTGACGTCGCGGGCGTACCACCATCTAAAAGAATAGTCAGTTTGACATGAGGAGGATAAATAAAGAAACATACGCAGGATCTCTGTCGTCTAAAACCTCGACAGCGGAACCGGCAGATATGGGTAGCTCGCCATCCCCAGTGCCATCGAAGGAATATCGCGCCTGAGCTGGTCGGCTCATGTCCTCAGTCATGATGCCCCTGGCGTCAGATGGGGTTTCAGCGCGCATGTAATTACTCGCGTCTGGCGCGAAAGGGTCTTGGTCTGGGGTTGGCGAACGGGTATCGAGGTGCTTGTCCTCTTTCGCATTGAAATTGGCGAAAGGACTCGCTCCAATTATCGTTGTTCGGGTCGCAGCATTGATGTGCTCGAGGAGCGAGGACGGACGGTGGTGTGTTGAATCGTCGTCATCGTCTTCCGCCGCATCAAATTTGTTGAGCTTGTCATCCCGGCGTGAAAACAACGTCCAAAGAATTCCAACCAAAGCCAAAAGGAACACTACACCCGCAGCGATTGCAATGGAGATCAGAATGACGACTCCGGTCGCCAAAAATCCTAAACATTCGCATTTAGACTTGGACGCAAAACGTACGATAGAGAAGGAAAAAACGTACGACGCTGCGTGAAGCTGAAATTCGAGAAGGATCGGAACAACGACGACACAGTCCCCGTGGAACCGGTGGAAGAAGTCGAAACAATATAAGGGAAGAAGCTTTGTCCGTCGAATAGAGCAGAAGATGCATTGCCAAAGGACGAGTCGGCCAGCGATCCGGAGATCATGAGCATTCTATCGGATTCTATGATGCTATTAGGAGCGTGGGTGTCTTGAAGCGGAACCATCGTGAGCTGAGCGACAGTTGTATTGCTTTCCAGTGTAGAGCCTAGAGCAAGGTAAGAACAGCAGTGATTCGCAAGTGGGTGAGCTCACTCAGGGCGGTCCATGAAGCGCCATTCCAGAAGGACAAGAACGACGAGGAAGCGTCGCTGGATCTGGTTCTGTTTCAGTATGGGAATGCAAAATCACAAAACGATGCCCACCTTCCTGCCGCAAAGATACTGCTGGTATTGCCAGCGTTGACCTCCACGGCGGTAACGGGTCCAGGGAGCTCCGAGCCCGACCCTAAAGGTGCCCATGAAGCATTAGAGAACGCGAATTGAACGACATTGGCTGCGGTGTTGTCGGACAGCGCAATAGAACCGCCGGCAATGAGGTATTCCTGATTGCTCTGCAAGGGGCTTAAATGAGAAACCGGGTTGTGGAACATATGAGCAGACTTACGCCGGCATATGCCACCGAAGCGACTTCACCCTGGATCCCACTCCCGAGGGCATTCCACTGCTTGGAGGTTGTATCGAGGGTACAGATAGCTTGACAACGCAACGATCCTGCCTGTGAGAAGGATCCCGCTATGATAATAGTGTTCGCCTTGGACGACGACAGGGTGATTGAGCGAACGACGACAGTTGACCCCGAGCTGCCCTGCAATGA